TCGTGCCAACACAGCTTACATGATTGACCAAAAGTGACTCAATAGAGCTCTACGGCAAGAAGCAAAGAACTGGTGTGGGCCACATATCTCACTAAGCCTACACATGAGAGCACACTGTGATGAAGATAAAACACCAAACCACAGACTGTATACCAGCAAAACCAGTATCCCCCATCCAACATGTCCTGAGAGATGCGCGAGGAAAAGGTACTCATCGTGTCTCACCTGGTTCGATGCCTCTGCGCTTTACATTAAGTGCCCTTCGCTGGATGCCTCTCTGCTTCCTTGTTGTTTACAGGAGAAGCCCTTTCTTCCTCCTCGGGGCTCTGGAGCATCCTTCAGCGGGATCAGCGCCACCACATCCCATCCAGTCGGCCTGCACCACTTGGAGCTACAGCGTTACAAATCAAGTCAAACACGCACTCAGCTCTGCCCCATCATCTAAATCAGAGCTGAACAGCACGGTGAATCTTTTTTGTTTTTTCTCCTCTCATCTTTTCTTCGTTCGACCATTGGCGCATCCCTTCACCCACCGCGGCTCGACATCGTGCGTCGCCGCATCTTACCGCAGTAGCCTCGGGTGCGCTCAGCGAGCAGGATGACGGAGAGCTAATTTGACTTGCAGCCCACTCACCGATACGAGGGGTGGATCGTGCCACACGGAGGCAGGAGAGGCGAGGAGAGCGGAAGTGTATGTATGAGGGATGGTTAGTGCCACACTAGAAGGTTTTTAATGTGGATGTAAGGAAGAGATCATCATAGCTGTTCTCACATCAGCCATGCACTCTTGAACGTTTCTAGAACATTCCCGGTAGACTGCCCCTAACATCCTCCAGAGTTCCAATAGTAGCCTATGTTGTTCTCACTGCACATGTGGGAGACTCTTCCGGGAGAGGGGGGTTCTCAGGAGGCAAGCATGACATTAAAGTCTTTATATGTGATTTTTCAAACTTAAATATAGAAATCAAGTATATCCTCTGAAAATAACTCTGTGAGTCATGACTGTCTACAATGGGTGTAACACCCGAGTCCCACTGTCTGTGATGCTTTCAGAGTTTTCAGAGTCCTATCTTCAGTTTGTTTACATCGCCAGGACGGTCGGCTGACTCCTCCCCTCGTGTATAAAGTTGTTTAATTGAGGGACTAGAGAAAAGAAGAATAACATACTGTACTCACTGCTTAACTGTGTTTCTAGATCACGCTCATTTCAGGTAAATTTACATGCAGTGTGAAGATACCAGCAAAATAAAGATCGCTAGCATTAGCATGCTAACAACAATGCACTGCGAGTTGTTTTGGTTTCATGCTGGTGCTCAAGGGCGACACCTGCTGGATCAAAAAATCACATATAAAGCCTTTAAGTCAACGCAGAAGTGGCGGACGAAGCAACAGAGTCAGGTAAACAGCACCAAAGAAATCTTGCCTTAATATTTATGCTAGAGAGAGAAAAACACTGGAAAACAGAAAAGATAATGACGCAGTTTCATTATGTGCATGGAGAGCGCACAGGTAAGATACATACAGTCCATGGTCGTGCGCTGGTCACGAGATATAATCACCCCCTCCCCGCTCAAGTGACTCATGCACAGATTATTCAACAAAGCAATTTGATGAACATAATGCACAATGAAAAGTTTTCTATTTACTATATTCAGTGTAAAAAAAAAGAGACTTAACTTATTGTTGAACATTTAGGGGACAGTTGTAATCATTGTCAGTGTTATTGTTGGAGATCAGTACCACTAAAACATCACCAGGTGGCAGTGTTGCTATGCTGAAGACCAACGTGAGGAAATGGTCACAGCATCAAGTAGACATCTCCGTGCATGAGGCTGAGGCAGGAAATGCTGCGCAACGATTCATACTCTGCTGGTAAGCTTGGAGATATTAGATCTGTGATGCCTGGAAAGTTTATGCTATTTTTTTGTTGACCGTCATAGTGGATAGTGTTTTCTAAGCACACTCACATCTTTTTTGTTAAGTTAGAACATTAGCTAGCTAGCAACAAAGAGCAGAAACACTCTGTAGTGACTGTGTTCACTTTACATAAACATCTCTGAGTAGAGCAGCAGAGCCTGCACATTGTCCCTATTTGCACCACTGCAGTCCTGTTTCATTAAAAGCCAGCCAAACAGCAGTAATTTGGTGAATACCAAACAGGGACTAATGAATAAATGTATGTCCCTTGATGCTGACATGATATTACCACTTTTGCAGAGCTACAGTGGATTAGCATGCTGTAGAAGCTGCCTGAAAGAGACGATGCAGAACATTATTTAAAGGGCGTTTGTTGCTTGCAATAATGAGAACAAAGGTGGCAGTGAGTGTTTTTCTCCTCAAGGTAGGGATGCAAACCGTCCCATATTTGACATCCCATATTTGGAACTAAATGTGTTCATCCTAAGCAGGAAATACTCTGTCCCGTATATTGATGTTACTTCTCTGTAATCACAAGGTGACACTTAACTGATCCTGGATCAGATCTGACAGACCATCATGCACCAATCACGTCCATCAAGAGACACCAATGTCATCCAATCACAGCCTCACTTTCCTCACTTTGCCGTGCATCAGCTTGCATTTAAAGTGCTTTACTGCCGTCTGAGATATTCCAGGGTAACAGAGGATGGCAGTGAAAGTTCAGCTCAAATGACCACTGCCATGGTTACAATCGCTCATCCTGCTAAGAAGACAGAAGCAGAGAAGGCTGAGATGAGGAGGAGTTTGGATAAAGCAAGAGGACAGAAAATCAATATATCGTCATGTGCTCCTTGCCAATATGTGCATCCATGCAAATTTTACAGTTTCGATAAATGTCCCAGATCTGTGATGGTAGTTTAGAAAGACACATTGCCCATGGTGCAGTTCCCAATAAAGCCAATAGGTGGCAGTAGAAGCCAAAATACATGAAAGCAAAGATATGGATCGAGTTGGAAGATGAGTCGTGCAATGTGCGAGCTTAACACAAGCAAGGTCAAATATTTTAGCTACACGGCCAACCTCTGGGTACAGAGGACAAATAGTTAGCAACAGCTAGGCTCGCTAAGGTGACACTTTCAAGTTAAAATTCCCCTCAATTTCCACCTGCCCGAGGGGAGGGAGTGGGTTTAGATGGAGCCCTGACGAGATGTTACTTTTCAAATTTTAATATGCCTAATATGTAAAAGTTAGTTGTCTGCACTGCGTCACAGCTGTCCAGTCTTTTGATCTCTGTGAGGAATGTTTGCACGATTTTTGTTAAGACATAAAATTCTTCTCTGTCTCTATCTTCTCTGTTTTATCCACTAAAAACAAATGAGGTAGACTTTAGCTGGGTGCATCGATCGCTCCTCATACAGCAGTAATCTTCCCTCACATACACTCACTCCTTGTTTCTTACGTAGCACAGCATCATCACAGCAGAAGATAAATCGACTGAAACACACACACACACACACACACACACACACACACACAATAAGAAGACGTCATGCGCCTATGCACATAGTTTATCACTTTCTCCTCCAAAGTCCCTCCTCTCTTGAATTTTTTTTATTCCTGAAGTTAATCCATGTGCTTTTGTGTCTCTAATCCACAGAAGATTTTTTAAACTCCTCTTGTTCTCTGTGACTGATTCAGACTCAATTGAAGGGTTTTATGATTCTCAAAATATATTTGTGCTTTTGCTCCTGCAGTTCATTCCTAAAGCAGCGTCTTAATCGAGGGAAGACGGTCTGCAGTGTGATGAGGTAAGAATAATCAGTCCACTTGCACAGACGTTCTGTATCTGCTGATTTAACCAAAATGTGTAGAATACAGACACATGAACCTAAAAAAAGTGAAATGATTAAATTAAAGCTGCCTTGTGAACATGGAATACCCATAACTACAGGGAATTTGTGTATCCAGTCTCTGTGTGGTTTTTGAAAACACCACCAGGGGGCCCTCTGCATGCAAAGATGTGTGTTTTTACTGTAATTTCAGGGATTGCGTTGAATCTTAGTTTGACATTTGCCTTCAAATGCAAATTTTCTTATTTTTTTGTTGTTCTCATGAGGATGTTGATTTTCTTAACTGTCTGTTCAAAGAAGAGGACTGGATAAAAGTAGAATAAAAAAATCTTAAACAATGGGTTCATATGGATTTTGGTAACTGCATGGAAGAACAATCCTGTCAGAAAAAAAGGAAACTTACTTTTAATAACAACAACAAAAAAAATTCATGACACAACCTATTATGTGAAATTATTAAATAGTAAAAAAAAACGAGATTGACGGGGCGTCGATAGACTAGCGGTTAGTGCGTGCACCCCATGTACGGTGGCTATAGTGGGGCTTCAAATCCGACCTGTTTCTCCTTTCCTTTTTGGCAAAAAAAGTTGCACTTGAACACACCGCAAAGACTACAGCTAACGGCTAACCACCACTTACATTCTGCCCATGCGTAAGAGGAAATAACTCTCCATAGAAGTCTGTAATCGTCATTCCAAAAAAAGGAAACCGGAAGAGGACAAGGACGGAGAAGAATGCGGATATATAACCCGCTGTTGTGATACGAGAAGACACTTTTTACACTCGCTCACCACTCGTAATAAAGGTACATCTAATCGAGAATAATGTCTGACAAACAGTTGCATCTTGACTCTAGTCACTTCTTTTTTTTCTTCTTCTATTGCACTGATTCGCTAAGCTGAACAGCTAATCAGAGTGACTTCCCTCACCAACCGTGACGACGCCGACAGACGCTGATTCAACATGTCGAAATCGGCTGAATAAAGGCTGACGGGGGCCGACAGGTAGCGACGGAGCTGGACACACCGCAAAAACTAGAGAGACGATTGCTCACCGACGGACCAACTAGGACCGACGACCATCGATCTCCTTGGTGTGTCAGGTCCTTCACTCTGCAAGAACAGCTGATTAATGAAATGAACACTATAAACCTGAACCACCTAAAGTGCATGACTTATTTTGAAATGAAAAAATTGTTTAAGTGAAGACATCATGACATTCCAATTTGAATCTTTTTCATGTGAATATAATTTTATTTTAACAAACATCCTCTCAAAATCAGCTCTGACAGAAACACTTGGCACTGAAACCCTTATCATCTAAGAGAACTTTGAAGAATTGTTAAAACCAGAGAAGTAATACATCTCTATTACACATAGATACTACTCATTGTGTGTTACCTCGACATAACAATACTCTTGTCTTAGGGTTGTGTTTAATGTTCTCATGTAAAAAACATTATAGTTGTGCCTGAGTCCCCTATTGACCTCTTTCTTTGCTACCGAGGATCTATTTTATAGGGGATGGCTTTGGGACCAGACCAAGGCTCTCCAATCACTAGGTCTGACATTGTAGTAGTGTAATGATAACATCTGCCCAGAGAGAAAATTATTTAGGTAGTGAGATCAAATGTTTAACAGTTTACGCTATCAAGGTCCTTTTCACTGATTTTGTTTAAGTGCCAAACAGCACCGATATTCTCCTCGCAGTGTACAGTATAAACATAAATATAAAATACATTAGCAGCAGGGTGGCCTACATTTTAGAGAACAGCCTTTGACGAGAGGGTCACAGGTTTGATCCCCACAGCAGATTAGAGTCCAGAGTGTCTCGCTCACCAACTGTGACTACCTCACAGCACCAGATAAATGCTCAAAATATAAAACTATGGCAAGAAAATGAGAAAAGCCTAAAATCTCAAAAAGCTCACTCTTCTCTTTCAAGAGAAACACGATAAGTTATCCAGCCAAAAAACAAAAAGATTATTTGTACTGGTAGATATGAAAATAATTACATTTCAAATTGAGGGGATACTGCTCAAAAAAATCATTTATAAAGTTGTATATACATGAATATTACTCTGGCCTGTACTGCTCTATAAAGTCATGGTGGAAGCCATGATGCTGATGCTTGTCAATGACTCATTACAGTATAAGTTGAACCCACAAACAACAATAAATAATGAAGCAACACCACATGTTTACATTTAGAGAGAAACCTGAAAAACCAAACAAAACTGATAAATAATTAGGACTAAACTAACGAAACTCAAAGAACAGTAACAAAAAAAAAGATTTATATATATTACTCTGTTGCTGCTGTAATGACAAAAATGCTCAAAGATGAAATGTAATTTTTCTCATCTCAATTTTCCTCAACTGTTAAAATATAAAATAAAGACTTTTATGTCGACAATGTTTTCCACTTTGCAGGCTCAGCTTACACTGCACCCTCACCAAAGAAAAACAACACAATTCAAAGACATTTAAGATATCATTACAGCATCCTCAGTCGTCAAAGTCCAACGCCTTGTGTGGTGACGTTGTGGTTGTCGAAGATTCGCCTGATCGTGTTTCGGTGGTGACGACTTGCCGGGTGATTCTGGTGGTTTTGGTCACCATGGTGAGAGTTCCCTCCTCTGTGGAGGAGACTTGGTGTTCTTCGGGCATTTCCTGGGTGGTGAAGCTGTGCTCTGAGGTGTGGAGGCAGAAAGACCCCGAGACATCAACCTCGCCTGCCACCTCTCCCTTCCTCTGGGCCTGAGGAGAACCCTCTGGAGTCAGCTGGAGGAAGCCTGCAGGAGGAAGAGGAGGAGGAGGAGGAAAGGAAAGGAAACAAGCAGAAGAGGAGGACAGATAAAGAAAGGAAGTGGGAAAAGAAACTTAGTCTTGTGTAATAGAGAGAAAGCAGGAGATTGTATGTTAATCATTAATAGATTCAGAACATGTTAAACACAAAGGTAATGGAAGGCAATATTTGATGTATTGTGTTTGCACAGGTTTGCCTTTCTCTTAAAGAAGTACCCATGTGGTTTAATATTTTATTTTGCTTACATTTTGTAGAAACTAACATAGACAGACTTTTAGTCATCAGCATACATTTCCCATAATGCAACACACAAGGTCAATATCTCTCTAACTATACTTCCCTAGTTTGTAATGTACTGCTATGTTGAATTGTGTGTTTTCTGAGTTTAAGCAGAAATAACCCAGATTACTCATGTTTCTCAAGGCATCTACAAAAACACACAGCAGAGGCGGATTCTTACAAGCCGCGACTAGTAAACTGGTTGTTAAAATAAAAATGGTGTCAATTCACTGTAAATGAAAGTCCAATGGTGTTTTGACATCTGCACAAAACTCCTGAAAATGTCCTTTTTTTTGGGGGGGTGGACTGCATGTGTTAACGCAAATGGACAATTTTTTCACCACAGACTTTACCAAGAATGTTTCCTGCCAGCCCCTTGGTAAAAATTACATGTGAAGTGGGGGTGAGCTAGTGTGTATACGCTGCAGGAAATATTAAGGAAAAATTCCCGCGAGCAAGCAGGCAGGGTGATGATATCACTCAGCCAATGCGCAACCGGCATGATTGTTGTCCACATAGCGAAGCTGCGTCATTCTCTTGTCTGCTTGCAAGTTTGTTCTTTACCACTTATTTGTTGATAGTGTCAATAAGTCCAATTACCCATACCATGTTTATACAGGCAAAAACAGTCATCATAGCGCCTGATGCTGTAGCTTTATGATCCTGTCCTGAAATTTTCTAGAAATTTTCAGGAGAACAAAGCTCATCTTTTCATTGCAGCTTGAATTTTTCTTTGTTCTTACCTGTGGAGTGCGGCTTCAGGGTGAACTTAGGAACCTTGAACCAGGGGGAAGACTCTTTTTCTTCAGACTCCCAGCTTTTGCTTTCAACCTCGCTCCAAGACTGGACCTTCGTAGAGCTGAACTCCATGGTCAAACTTGAGGGCGACTCTGAGCTGTCCCTGTCCAGCATATCTGTTCTGGCAAGAGATGATACCACTTCCTTTGAGAGCTCCTCGCTAAAACCAGCCGAGCCCATCTTGCCGGTTTTAAATGCAAGTCCGCTGGATTCCCCCACTTCTACGGATGACAAATCCTTTCCTAGTTTCACACTCATTTCAGTGTCCTCCTCCCCTGCAGCCATTTTGCCATATGGAGAGCTGAGCTCTATCTTTGGTAGATTAACTTGGGGAACTGTCATTCCCCCCCCCGTTAACTTCTCCCCTTTCACCCACTCTTTCTCTGTGCCCATTGAAGCTAATTTATCTTTGGACTTCCCAAAACTTGGCTTCATTTTGATCTTGGGCATCTTCACTTCGAGGTCCTCTGTCGTTGACTCCTCTCCTAGGCAGCCTGAGCATGCAGCAGGTTCATCTGTTGGAGGATTTACCAAGACAAAAACAGCCTTCTTTACTTTGGGCATCTTAGGACCCTCATACTGAATTTCTTGCCCATAGATATTCCGTCTTCCCTTGGGGGATATCGAGGGTAGTGGAACACCAAACTTGGGGATTTTGATTTTCTTGCCTGTTTCTGTTTTATCTTCATCTTCATCCTGTGACGTACCTATATCAAAATCTATATCTGGGATCCTGGGGACTTTGATTTCTGCTCTGGAGGAGAGACCACCCTCTTCTCCTGTTACTGAGCTGGCTGAGCCTTGCACACTTGATGAAATAACCCCTGGCACTGGGATGTTAACACGATATTTGTTTTCATTATGTCCGTTGTGGGTTTCAGGTTTAACCTCTGCTGCCAAATCCTTGCCATTTTTCTTTTTTGGCATTCCAATGTTGAATCTTGTCCCTTTAACTTTTGCACCCTTCACTTTGCTGCTGGGTTCTGTTGTGTGGAGATCCAAGTCAGGTAGTTCAACTTTTTTCCTGTCCTTCTTGCCCTCCCCTCTTTGCAGTCCTATATCAAGCTCAAGGTCTCCCTTTGGAACTTTGATATCTATTGTTGGTATCTTAAGTTTTAGGCCTTTGTTCTCTCCCTCAACAACTGTGCCTTGATTCGGTTTAGAAAGTGTTACATCCATGTCCAGATCGGGTGATGTGACTTTTGGCACTTTGGTTTTCCCTCCTGTCTCAATGGTTGGTAAGTTGATCTCCATACCACTTGATTTTTCCATTGGTATCGTCCCCTTAGAAAGTTTAACATCGGGGCCTTTGAGCTTTCCTCCTCTGAAATCCATCTCCATTGTAGGTGCTTCAGTATCTTTACTTTTACCTTTAGGAAGTGAAATGTCAACCTTTGGCATCTTGATATATGGCAGCGTGACAGCTCCTCCTTCTGCCCCAATTTCCACCTCTTGTGTGTTGATATTTGTTTTTCCTTTAGGTAGAGATATAGCCACATTTGGAGTCTTGAACTGCCCCTCATCTCCCTTAATCTCTATCTCTGGGCCTTGGATCGAAGGTTTGCCTTTAGGAAGCGATATATCAATCTTTGGCATCTTGAACTTTCCTGACTCACCCTTGACTTCAACTTTGGGACCTTCAACCTTTCCTTTTGGCAGTGAAAAGTCTACTGAGGGCATTGTCATGAGTGGCAATTTCATTTGGCCTCCGCCTCCCTCAACCTCAAACTCTGCTCCTTCAATTTTGCTAGATTTTCCTTTGGGTAGAGAGATGTCAACATCTGGCATTTTCATTTGAGGTAATTTGAATTTTCCCCCTGTACCTCCTTCTATTTCAACATCTGGACCTTCAATCTTTCCCTTAGGAAGAGAAATGTTAACATCTTTCATCTTCATACCAGGCATTTTGAATTCTCCTTCGCCATGTCCCTTGAATTCAACATCTGGACCTTCAGTCTTTCCTTTAGGTAATGAAATATCAACTGAAGGCATACTGAGATGTGGCATTTTAAATTTTCCTCCTGCACCTTTATCAATTTCAACTTCTGGACCTTCAAACTTTCCTTTGGGCAGAGACACATCAACATTTGGCATTTTCATGTGAGGCATTTTGAACTTTCCGCTTGTTTCTCCCTCCATTTCCACATTTGGAACTTCCATCTTTCCTTTGGGCAGTGAAATATCAACAGAAGGCATGCTGAGATGTGGCATCTTGAATTTCCCACCTTCCCCTTTGAGCTCCACCTCTGGACTTTCAAACTTTCCTTTTGGCAAAGACACATCAACATTTGGCATTTTCATGTGAGGCATTTTAAACTTTCCTCCATGACCTCCCTCAACTTCAACTTTTGGACCTTCAACTTTTCCTTCGGGTAGGGAAATATCAACAGAAGGCATGCTGAGATGTGGCATCTTGAATTTTCCACCCTCCCCTTTGAGCTCCACCTCTGGACCTTCAATCTTTCCTTTTGGAACAGAGATATCAATATCTGGCATTTTCAATTGAGGCATTTTGAACTTCCCTCCACTACCTCCATCTATTTCAACTTCAGGACTGTCAATCTTTGCTTTGGGCAGTGAAATATCCACAGAGGGCATATTTAAATGGGGCATTTTAAATTTGGCTCCTCCTCCCCCAGTCTTTGCTTCAAGATCAGGTACATCAACATTGGTGGTTTTCATTTTTGGCAGAGATAAGTCAATGTTTGGCATTTTGATGCCAGGCATTCTGAATTTAGCTCCTTCTCCTTCTACATCCACATCCGGAGAGCCAATTAATCCAGTGTTTATCTTTGGCAAGGAAATGTCAACATCCGGCATTTTGACATGAGGCATCTTAAATTTGCCACCTCCATCACCATTTATTTCAATGCCTGGGGCATCTAGGTCTCCAGGTTTTCCTTTGGGAAGGGACATGTCTATTGATGGCATTGTTATGTTAGGCATTTTGAATTGTCCTTCACCTCCTTTTAATTCCACTTCGGGTCCTTCAATCTTTGGGGACTTACCCTTTGGAAAGGATAGATCTAAGTCAGGCATAGTGATTTGAGGCATTTTGAATTTCCCCCCTTCTGCGCTGGCTCCAATGTGAGCGCCTTCAATATCATCTGTTTTCCATTTAGGAAGCGACAAATCAACGTTCGTCATTTTAATATCTGGCATCTTTAATTTTCCTTCCACACCATCAGCTCTCGCTTCATGCTTTACTTTTGGCAGAGACACATCAAGGTCAATTTTGGGGATTGAAAGGTCAATAGTCGGCATTTTAGGAATTTTAAGGTTTCCCTCATAACCTCTGATATCAGCGTCTGAGACATCAACTTCTGCTTTGGGAAGAAGAACCTCAGTATCAGGTGTTTTAGCTTCTGGAAGTGAAAGCTCTACAGAGGGCATCTTGACTTTGGCCTTAGCATTAAGGTTACCACCTGGCTTACCTAAAGCTTTTTCTTTAGAGCCAAATTTTGGCATTGAGAACTTTGGTAGTTTAATCGTGACATCGGGTGCATGGAAGCCACCTTTCCCCTCAATATCTGCTTCCTCTTTTGTGTCAACCTCTGCCTCTGGCAGTTGGCCTTTTGGTGATGATATTTTAAACTTGGGAAATTTCACTTTTTGTTTTGATTCATCGTTCGGGCTCTCAACATTGATGTCAGGTTTAGGAATGTCAATTTTCCCCTTTTTCATTCTAACATCCACGTCAGGACAAGACACAGATACATCTGCATCCTTTTTTGACCAACCAAACGAAGGCATTTTGATTTTAGGTTTCTTCACCTTGACTTTTCCATCCCCATCAAACTCTACAGATGGTGCCCTAATCTGACCTTCCACATGTGGTGGGCTAAGGGAAATGTCTCCTTTTGGACTTTTTCCTGATATCTCCAAACCACCACTCTTGGACTTTCCACCAAATCTAGGCAGTGTAAAACTGGGGAACTTGAGGTTGACATTGGGTAGATCAAAGCTGCCCCCTGAAGAAGGCCTGCCTCCCTCTGCTTTCAGGAGCTCTACTTCCACATCATCACCTTTAGGTTTGTTAAGTCCAAAGTCTAGATCCACTTTTGGAGCTGAGATGTCCACTGATGGAAGTTTGACTGTGGGAAGTTTAAGTGATGCACTTTGACCTTCTACACCATCTGTCTCAATGTCTGCACCCTTAAGTTTCAACTTGGCTGGCTTAACATCTCCTTTGAGACCAGACACCTCCAACTTCCCTGACCCATCGGGACCATGGGCTTTGAGGCTTTTGTCTTTCAGACCAGAGGGTACGCTAAGGTCAAGATCAAATCTGGGGAACTCTATGTCAACTGTTGGCAAGTGGAGCCCACCACCCTTTTTACCAGATAGTTCAACTGTTGGCTCTCCAAACTTTCCTGATGGTCCTGTGATATTGATATCACCCTCGACACTTCCCTCTGGAACTGAAATAGCGGGCATTACAATCTTTCCTCCCTTCATCTCTGATCCTTCAAATTTGGGTTCAGGTAGGTTCAACTTTGGAAGAGAAACATCAACATTGGGCATTTTGAATTTGCTATCCTTTACCTCAGGGCCGTGAATATTAAGGTTGCCTTCAGCCTTTCCTCCAGGAAGTGCAATGTCAATACTTGGCATGTCAATGTTTCCACCTTTAACATCAGGTCCTTCAATATTTATCTCAGGTCCCTTAGCTTTCATTTTAGGAAGAGAGATGTCAAATGAAGGCATGTGAAACTTGCCTCCTTTGCCACTGCATCCATCAATGTCAATATCCACGTCTGCTTTCCCTTTTGGGAGTGATATATCAACTGTTGGCATTTCCATTTTTCCTTTCATATCTGGTCCTTCCACATTGGCATCAATCTTTGGTAGACTCACTTTTGGTAAAGACACATCAAATTTTGGCATTTTGAATTTCCCTCCTTTCACCTCAGGGCCTTCAAGATTCAAGTCACCTTCGAGTTTTCCTTTGGGAAGTGACATATCAACACTTGGCAAGCTGAACTTTCCTCCTTTGACATCAGGACCCTGCAGGCTGATATCTACATCAGGAGATTTCATTTTGGGCAAAGAAACATCAAGTGATGGCATGTTTAGCTTTCCACCTTTAACATCAGGGCCTTCAATATTTATCTCAGGTCCCTTAGCTTTCATTCTTGGAAGAGAGATGTCAAATGAAGGCATGTGAAACTTGCCTCCTTTGCCACTGGGTCCATCAATGTCAATATCCACATCTGCTTTCCCTTTTGGGAGTGAAATATCTACTGTTGGCATTTCCATTTTTCCTTTCATATCTGGTCCTTCCACATTGGCATCAATCTTTGGTAGACTCACTTTTGGTAAAGTGACATCAAATTTTGGCATTTTGAATTTCCCTCCTTTCATCTCAGGGCCTTCAAGATTTAAGTCACCCTCTAGTTTTCCTTTGGGAAGTGACATATCAACACTTGGCAAGCTGAACTTTCCTCCTTTGACATCAGGACCCTGCAGGCTGACATCTACTTCAGGAGATTTCATTTTGGGCAAAGAAACATCAAGTGATGGCATGTTTAGCTTTCCACCTTTAACATCAGGACCTTCAATATTTATCTCAGGTCCCTTAGCTTTCATTTTAGGAAGAGAGATGTCAAGTGAAGGCATGTGGAATTTCCCTCCTTTTCCAGCATGTCCTCCAATTTCAATATCTCCACCTGCTTTTCCTTTGGGGAGGGAAATATCAATGTCTGGCATTTCAATCTTTTTACCCTTGATGTCTGGGCCTTTGAAGTTAATATCACCTTCTGGGAGTTTCATTTTAGGCAACGAGACATCAAATTTAGGCATTTTAAAGGTGCCTCCTTTTACATCAGGGCCTTGAATATTCAGGTCACCCTCGACTTTACCTTCTGGGAGATGAATATCACCCCTAAATTCAGGTCCTTCAATATCAACATCAGCTCCCTTAGCTTTCATTTTAGGAAGAGAGATGTCAAATGAAGGCATGTGAAACTTGCCTCCTTTGCCACTGGGTCCATCAATGTCAATATCCACATCTGCTTTCCCTTTTGGGAGTGAAATATCAACTGTTGGCATTTCCACTTTTCCTTTCATATCTGGTCCTTCCACATTGGCATCAATCTTCGGTAGACTTACTTTTGGTAAAGAGACATCAAATTTTGGCATTTTGAATTTCCCTCCTTTCACCTCAGGGCCTTCAAGATTTAAGTCACCCTCTAGTTTTCCTTTGGGAAGTGACATATCAACACTTGGTAAGCTGAACTTTCCTCCTTTGACATCAGGACCCTGCAGGCTGACATCTATGTCAGGAGATTTCATTTTGGGCAAAGAAACATCAAGTGATGGCATGTTTAGCTTTCCACCTTTAACATCAGGGCCTTCAATATTTATCTCAGGTCCCTTAGCTTTCATTTTAGGAAGAGAGATGTCAAATGAAGGCATGTGAAACTTGCCTCCTTTGCCACTGGGTCCATCAATGTCAATATCGACATCTGCTTTTCCTTTTGGGAGTGAAATATCCACTGTTGGCATTTCCATTTTTCCTTTCATATCTGGTCCTTCCACATTGGCATCAATCTTTGGTAGACTCACTTTTGGTAAAGTGACATCAAATTTTGGCATTTTGAATTTCCCTCCTTTCACCTCAGGGCCTTCAAGATTCAGGTCCCCCTCTAGTTTTCCTTTGGGAAGTGACATATCAACACTTGGCAAGCTGAACTTTCCTCCTTTGACATCAGGACCCTGCAGGCTGACATCTATGTCAGGAGATTTCATTTTGGGCAAAGAAACATCAAGTGATGGCATGTTTAGCTTTCCACCTTTAACATCAGGGCCTTCAATATTTATCTCAGGTCCCTTAGCTTTCATTTTAGGAAGAGAGATGTCAAGTGAAGGCATGTGGAATTTCCCTCCTTTTCCAGCATGTCCTCCAATTTCAATATCTCCACCTGCTTTTCCTTTGGGGAGGGAAATATCAATGTCTGGCATTTCAATCTTTTTACCCTTGATGTCTGGGCCTTTGAAGTTAATATTACCTTCTGGGAGTTTCATTTTAGGCAACGAGACATCAAATTTAGGCATTTTAAAGGTGCTTCCTTTTACATCAGGGCCTTGAATATTCAGGTCACCCTCGACTTTACCTTCTGGGAGATGAATATCACCCCTAAATTCAGGTCCTTCAATATCAACATCAGCTCCCTTAGACTTCATTTTAGGAAGAGAGATGTCAAATGAAGGCATGTGAAACTTGCCTCCTTTGCCACTGGGTCCATCAATGTCAATATCCACGTCTGCTTTCCCTTTTGGGAGTGAAATATCAACTGTTGGCATTTCCATTTTTCCTTTCATATCTGGTCCTTCCACATTGGCATCAATCTTTGGTAGACTCACTTTTGGTAAAGTGACATCAAATTTTGGCATTTTGAATTTCCCTCCTTTCACCTCAGGGCCTTCAAGATTTAAGTCACCCTCTAGTTTTCCTTTAGGAAGTGACATATCAACACTTGGTAAGCTGAACTTTCCTCCTTTGACATCAGGACCCTGCAGGCTGACATCTATGTCAGGAGATTTCATTTTGGGCACAGAAACATCAAGTGATGGCATCTTTAGCTTTCCACCTTTAACATCAGGGCCTTCAATATTTATCTCAGGTCCCTTAGCTTTCATTTTAGGAAGAGAGATGTCAAATGAAGGCATGTGAAACTTGCCTCCTTTGCCACTGGGTCCATCAATGTCAATATCCACGTCTGCTTTTCCTTTTGGGAGTGAAATATCCACTGTTGGCATTTCCATTTTTCCTTTCATATCTGGTCCTTCCACATTGGCATCAATCTTTGGTAGACTCACTTTTGGTAAAGTGACATCAAATTTAGGCATTTTGAATTTCCCTCCTTTCACCTCAGGGCCTTCAAGATTTAAGTCCCCCTCTAGTTTTCCTTTGGGAAGTGACATATCAACACTTGGCAAGCTGAACTTTCCTCCTTTGACATCAGGACCCTGCAGGCTGACATCTACTTCAGGAGATTTCATTTTGGGCAAAGAAACATCAAGTGATGGCATCTTTAGCTTTCCACCTTTAACATCTGGGCCTTCAATGTTTATCTCAGGTCCCTTAGCTTTCATTTTTGGAAGAGAGATGTCAAATGAAGGCATGTGAAACTTGCCTCCTTTGCCACTGGGTCCATCAATGTCAATATCCACGTCTGCTTTTCCTTTTGGGAGTGAAATATCAACTGTTGGCATTTCCATTGTTCCTTTCATATCTGGTCCTTCCACATTAGCATCAGTCTTTGGTAGACTCATTTTAGGCAAAGAAACATCAAATTTAGGCATTTTAAAGGTGCCTCCTTTTACTTCAGGGCCTTGAATATTCAGGTCACCCTCGACTTTACCTTCTGGGAGATGAATATCACCCCTAAATTCAGGTCCTTCAATATCAACATCAGCTCCCTTAGCTTTCATTTTTGGAAGAGAGATGTCAAATGAAGGCATGTGAAACTTGCGTCCTTTGCCACTGGGTCCATCAATGTCAATATCCACATCTGCTTTTCCTTTTGGGAGTGAAATATCCACTGTCGGCATTTCCATTTTTCCTTTCATATCTGGTCCTTCCACATTGGCATCAATCTTTGGTAGACTCACTTTTGGTAAAGTGACATCAAATTTTGGCATTTTGAATTTCCCTCCTTTCACCTCAGGGCCTTCAAGATTCAGGTCCCCCTCTAGTTTTCCTTTGGGAAGTGACATATCAACACTTGGCAAGCTGCACTTTCCTCCTTTGACATCAGGACCCTGCAGGCTGACATCTACTTCAGGAGATTTCATTTTGGGCAAAGAAACATCAAGTGATGGCATGTTTAGCTTTCCACCTTTAACATCAGGGCCTTCAATATTTATCTCAGGTCCCTTAGCTTTCATTTTAGGAAGAGAGATGTCAAGTGAAGGCATGTGGAATTTCCCTCCTTTTCCAGCATGTCCTCCAATTTCAATATCTCCACCTGCTTTTCCTTTGGGGAGGGAAATATCAATGTCTGGCATTTCAATCTTTTTACCCTTGATGTCTGGGCCTTTGAAGTTAATATCACCTTCTGGGAGTTTCATTTTAGGCAACGAGACATCAAATTTAGGCATTTTAAAGGTGCCTCCTTTTACATCAGGGCCTTGAATATTCAGGTCACCCTCAACTTTACCTTCTGGGAGATGAATATCACCCCTAAATTCAGGTCCTTCAATATCAACTTCAGCACCCTTAGATTTCATTTTAGGAAGAGAGATGTCAAATGAAGGCATGTGAAACTTGCCTCCTTTGCCACTGGGTCCATCAATGTCAATATCCACATCTGCTTTCCCTTTTGGGAGTGAAATATCTACTGTTGGCATTTCCATTTTTCCTTTCATATCTGGTCCTTCCACATTGGCATCAATCTTTGGTAGACTCACTTTTGGTAAAGTGACATCAAATTTAGGCATTTTGAATTTCCCTCCTTTCACCTCAGGGCCTTCAAGATTTAAGTCCCCCTCTAGTTTTCCTTTGGGAAGTGACATATCAACACTTGGCAAGCTGAACTTTCCTCCTTTGACATCAGGACCCTGCAGGCTGATATCTACGTCAGGAGATTTCATTTTGGGCAAAGAAACATCAAGTGATGGCATGTCAATGTTTCCACCTTTAACATCAGGTCCTTCAATATTTATCTCAGGTCCCTTAGCTTTCATTTTAGGAAGAGAGATGTCAAATGAAGGCATGTGAAACTTGCCTCCTTTGCCACTGGGTCCATCAATGTCAATATCCACGTCTGCTTTCCCTTTTGGGAGTGATATATCAACTGTTGGCATTTCCATTTTTCCTTTCACATCCGGTCCTTCCACATTGGCATCACTCTTTGGTAGACTCACTTTTGGTAAAGTGACATCAAATTTTGGCATTTTGAATTTCCCTCCTTTCACCTCAGGGCCTTCAAGATTCAGGTCCCCCTCTAGTTTTCCTTTGGGAAGTGACATATCAACACTTGGCAAGCTGAACTTTCCTCCTTTGACATCAGGACCCTGCAGGCTGACATCTATGTCAGGAGATTTCATTTTGGGCAAAGAAACATCAAGTGATGGCATGTTTAGCTTTCCACCTTTAACATCAGGGCCTTCAATATTTATCTCAGGTCCCTTAGCTTTCATTTTAGGAAGAGAGATGTCAAGTGAAGGCATGTGGAATTTCCCTCCTTTTCCAGCATGTCCTCCAATTTCAATATCTCCACCTGCTTTTCCTTTGGGGAGGGAAATATCAATGTCTGGCATTTCAATCTTTTTACCCTTGATGTCTGGGCCTTTGAAGTTAATATTACCTTCTGGGAGTTTCATTTTAGGCAACGAGACATCAAATTTAGGCATTTTAAAGGTGCCTCCTTTTACATCAGGGCCTTGAATATTCAGGTCACCCTCAACTTTACCTTCTGGGAGATGAATATCACCCCTAAATTCAGGTCCTTCAATATCAACTTCAGCACCCTTAGATTTCATTTTAGGAAGAGAGATGTCAAATGAAGGCATGTGAAACTTGCCTCCTTTGCCACTGGGTCCATCAATGTCAATATCCACGTCTGCTTTCCCTTTTGGGAGTGAAATATCAACTGTTGGCATTTCCACTTTTCCCTTCATATCTGGTCCTTCCACATTGGCATCAATCTTTGGTAGACTCACTTTTGGTAAAGTGACATCAAATTTAGGCATTTTGAATTTCCCTCCTTTCACCTCAGGGCCTTCAAGATTTAAGTCACCCTCTAGTTTTCCTTTGGGAAGTGACATATCAACACTTGGCAAGCTGAACTTTCCTCCTTTGACATCAGGACCCTGCAGGCTGATATCTACATCAGGAGATTTCATTTTGGGCAAAGAAACATCAAGTGATGGCATGTCAATGTTTCCACCTTTAACATCAGGTCCTTCAATATTTATCTCAGGTCCCTTAGCTTTCATTTTAGGAAGAGAGATGTCAAATGAAGGCATGTGAAACTTGCCTCCTTTGCCACTGCATCCATCAATGTCAATATCCACGTCTGCTTTCCCTTTTGGGAGTGATATATCAACTGTTGGCATTTCCGTTTTTCCTTTCATATCTGGTCCTTCCACATTGGCATCAATCTTCGGTAGACTCACTTTTGGTAAAGAGACATCAAATTTAGGCATTTTGAATTTCCCTCCTTTCACCTCAGGGCCTTCAAGATTCAGGTCCCCCTCTAGTTTTCCTTTGGGAAGTGACATATCAACACTTGGTAAGCTGAACTTTCCTCCTTTGACATCAGGACCCTGCAGGCTGACATCTATGTCAGGAGATTTCATTTTGGGCAAAGAAACATCAAGTGATGGCATGTTTAGCTTTCCACCTTTAACATCAGGGCCTTCAATATTTATCTCAGGTCCCTTAGCTTTCATTCTAGGTAGAGAGATATCAAGTGAGGGCATGTGTAACTTTCCTCCTTTACCAGAAAGTCCTTCAACTTCAAATTTTTTTCCCGCCTTTCCTTTGGGGAGTGAAATATCAATGTCTGGCATTTCAATCTTTCTTCCTTTCACCTTTGGACCTTCAATGTTGACATCTATCCCAGGAGTTCCTATATCAGGTGCTGAAATATCAAGTGATGGCATATTGAAATTTCCTCCTTGAACTTCAGGTCCTTTTATATCGACATTGACGTCCTTAGTTTTTATTTTTGGAGGTCTGATATCAATTGAAGGCATGTGAAACTTTCCTCCTTTACTTCCATGTCCGTCAATATCAACATCTCCCTCTATTTTTCCTTTTGGAAGTGAGAAATCAATAGATGGCATTTCCATTTTTCCTTTGACCTCTGGTCCTTTTGGTAGTGATATGTCAATAGAGGGCATCTGGATTTGACCTCCACCCTCAAGCTTGGGTTCGTCTGGAAGAGAAATGTCAAGTGTAGGCCTTTTAAATTGACCACCTTTCACTTCAGGCCCTACAATGTCCGCTTCCACCTCACCTGTCTTCATTTTAGGGAGGGAGATATCAAACGATGGTAACTTAAATCTTTCTCCTCCTTCAATGTCTGTTGTTCCTGCTTTGCCTTTGGGTAGGGTCAGGTCTACGTTAGGTAATTTGAAGCCCCACTCCACTTCTTTCCCTTGTGTATTTACGTCTCCTGGCGTCTTAATTTTTGGCAAAGAAACATCAAAATCCGGCATTTGGAACTTCCCATCTCCACCAACATAATAGTCCATATTCACGTCTCCAACTTCTGCTTTCATTTTTGGGAGAGAGATATCAACAGAGGGTGGATTGAATTGTCCTCCCCCTTCTGGACCTTCAATATTTACACTGGATGATCCCATCTTTGGTAAGGAGATATCAATCTTTGGCATGGAGATATTGGGCCCTTTAAATGTGCCCTCCACCTCATCGGGAATTCTTTGATTGGTGTCCATTTTCACATCAACATCTGGCACAGAGAAGTCAACAGCTGGCATTTTAATTGTTGTCCTCCCAGCACCTTCGTATTCAGGTAGAGAGATGTCGATGTCAGACTTTCCCTTTAATTTTGGTAAAGAAATATCAACTGAAGGCATTTGAATAGATGCAGCTTGTCCTGAGGGATTACTTTCTATCTTTGGTTTGGTTATATTTGCTTCAGGGAGACTGATCTCACCTGCTTTGATTTCAACTTTTGGAGGTGTTATGTCAGTTTGAGGAACTTTTATCCCCTTGGCTTTTACCTTGATGTCACCATCTATCTCATCTGAATGACGCGAGAGTCTAACTTTAGGTAATTTTAGCTTTGGCATTCTTAGCTTTGCATCTCCTTTGCCTACGTCTACGTCAACTTTTCCCCCAGCCGCCTCTGCATCAGCTCTTCCTTTGATGTCAATTTTAGGAGCTTTGACTTCTCCCTTTCCCTCCACAGAAGGCAAAGAGGCCTCAGCTTTTCCTGAAGGCAGTGCAAACTCCACATCAGGCGCCTTAATGTCTTTATCAACAGACAGATTGAACTCCACTGATGGTGGCCGGATGTTCACAGTGGGGGGCTTGAGCTCCACAGATCCAGCTTCCAAAGCCGAGCTTGTCTTTGTGTGTTTGCTCTTTGGAAAGGTGATCCCAAACTTGTGTCCCTTCACTTTTGTTTTTGCTTTAGCTCCGGATACCTCTGGTTGCAAGATGTTCACCTGTCCCTCAAATCTTCCTGTTTCCACTTTTCCTCCTTTCTCTGTTCCAGCGTGACTCTTCATTTTCAGGCCAGGAAACCTGAAAGAACCAATTATAGAAAGAAAGGAGAGAAGAAGAATTATGTATTGTTATAAAGCTCAAGATAACATTTTCCATATAAACTTTTCTGAAAATAATACTGTATTATTCTATTCTTTAGAAATACCATCATTATCTACTCCAACAAGCATCTACTCTTGCTGCTATGTTTCTACAGCAAGTAACTGGAACCATTAAAGAAAAAAACATCAACCTGATTTTCTTGGCCTTCCCCATGGCTGCCGCTCCTTCGGCTCCTCCGGCTTCCATCTTCACACTCCTACTCTGTTTGAATTTGGGGAGAGAAAACTCCACGTCCACGTCGCTCATCTCCAGCCTGGGGGGCGTTCCCTCGATCACCAGCTCCTCTTTGCGTCTCTCCTTCAGCCTCTTCAGACCAAAACGACCACCTCTCTTCTTCTTTGTCTTGAATGGTTTTGTGCCCTTCACACTCTGAAATAGGCACGGACACTTATGAATGACGTGAGGATTAGCAACAACATTTGAAGGCCTTTAAGTGAAAAGGCCAATTACATACATATGACAAATATAAATACAGAATTTTAACACTGATTACCATTTTGGCCATCTTGGCTTTAGGACCTTTGACCTCTACACTGGGAACTCGAGGTCTCACGCTGACCTCTGCCCCAGGGATGGTCCTCTTCACCTGGAAGCTGACCTTGTAAGGCTCAGCGCACTGAAGGATCTTCAGAGCGTCTTCATACCTCACATTGTCAAAATAGACCTTGGCACTCAGCAGCTGGTCACCTTCACATGGAGAACATCATGACTCAAACTGTACAGTTTAAAACCTATAAAAGTAGTTTATTCTCAAGAATAACAATAGATTCCAGCTGCTGTTCTAAATATGTAAACACTGTCACTGCATCAACATGAAACTATGCACCTATTCAAAATGTCTACGTTTCTATACTGTGTATTTGTTCCTTCACACACTAAAAATATATTGTCATACCTTTAACTTTTGTTTGTTTGATTGTGGTTGCTGTTTTGGTTGGATTTTGAAAAGGTAACATGGTCGGAGTCACATGAATCAAAGCTTTCTAGGGTTGTAGCATTAATGATTTACACAGAATATACACAGAACAAATGTTTTTTCTGCTCGTTTTTTAACCAACTGACTTTTCATACATTGTGGATCTTTTCAACAGACTTCTGCTTGAGAACGGTAAATTGACATTAACGTGGGGGCAGCAGTGACAGGGTGATCATTACACTAGTCACTCTTTCTGTTATGAACTTGTTGTATGTCATATAGATGAATCAGTAGTATTAGTTGACTCTGCTGGTTCCCCAGGATAACTGGAGGGTCAGCTATTTCTTGGGAAACAATTTCAGGACCCTTTTGGATTTGATGGAGCCAGTCACAACCATTTATCTCATATGGAGCAGGTTTAATGTTGGTGACTCATTTTTACCTCACATGCAAATAGCAAGTGTTGTCCACTTCATCATCTCACGCCAATATTTTATTTCACACAAGAGGGCATATGATTTTTATTTTGAAATTGTGTACCTAGCCAAAAAGCCTGGCTCTTCGACACATGTTGTGTTTAACTGATTGGTTCTGATTGGTTCTAGCACCCAGAGGCATTTTGTTCAGCAACAATGATAACTTCCAAGAAATTGTAAAAATTAGATAATAAAATTAAAACTGTTTTTGCCTTTTGGAAGGGTCAGGGGAATGCTGGGTAACTTGCTTTGCAAATAATTAACTAACACAATATTCAAATCTGAATGAACGCTCTGCTTGACCGTCGTTTTCTGGATACATTTGCATGTAAAATCTTCTGATTTCACTGCTCTCTAGGGGCCGCAGGCAGGAACTGCAACTCTTACACATTGAGTTTTAAGGTCTGCCCGCCTTCTGTTGTATAAAATTATGATGGATTTAATTGTTAGGCTTTAAAATGGAACTGAATATCAAACATTTTTATATTGATAAAGCAAAAACCCAGGACACACTCAATGGCTCAGAGTTTGCAGTGTGTTTTTTTTTATTTTAATTCATATTTTTGCTTCCTAAACAGTTCAGATGTAACCATAGATACCTTCCTGTAGACTGAGATGTTTAGCAGCTGGCGAGTCTTTGAGGACATCTTTAACGAAGATCCCTCGCTGTCCTCCACCAGTCACACTGTAGCCGCTCGCTCCAGCCTCCGCCTCCGTCTCCACCACGATTTCTACCAACTTAGAGACCTCCTCAATGATCTAAAACACACACAAGCACACCACTTGTAGTACCTCAGACAAACCTGTCAACTAGTATTATAATGATCATCTAAATGGCTGTAGATTAAGCTGTTGTTCTTTTGAGTCATGTTTGGAGATGAATCCTCTGAGTTAACATGAAGTTACAAAATGACCAGGATCCATTGCACAAAATCTAAAATGTATTTAATGGGACTTTCACCCAAGCAGTATTGTGACTACCCAACTCAGTCAGGACTCATCAGGACCTAATTTCTCTTCATCAGAAAGTGAGAATGACTGACTAAAACCAACAAGGGGGCTGTCGATTTACCCTCATTGTCTTAAATACAGATAATCATTTTAAACGTCAAAAGAAACAGGGATTCTTGTGGATGTTAAGGTCCATAAAAGTGTTACTCATCATCATTATTTAAGGTCAATCAATGTGCAGTTGCATTATGCAGCTTTGAGGGCCTACATCCAAACAGAGGGTGTATTATAATCTCCAGCGAGGGTTAAACTGACAATGAATACGAACACAGTCGTTACATACGGCTTGTTCTTCTGTGGGCTCTGAATCCATCTCTGGTTGGGCCAGTTGGCAGGTCGACTCTCTCAGGTGACTTCTCTTCTGACTCAACACCTTCTTCAACTCTGCATGGAGCTTCTCCTTCTGCACCTACACACACACACACCACACACCACACTTAGGATTTTCTACAGTGTAGGTGGATGATACAAGAGAACAGCTAAAACAATCCTGCAATCCTATGAGGAGCTTTTGGTTTGTGCGATTTTGGCGCCCCATGTGGACAAAGAAATACCTCTCTCTTATCTCTGCTTATTTTGTCCTCTGCATGTGTAAGTCGTTTTTCTGATGAAGAATATCACCCTGCCTTCTTTTCAGGGGCGTGTCCAGACTTTTCTTACTTGGGTGGGTGATAATTTATGCAGGGTCACGTGAAGTTTGTGGTAAAAGACATGAAATTTAGACAGCGTGCATGAGGTTTTGCAATGGATTTTTTTAATGGAAAAAGCTACATTTGAACTTAAGTCCCGCCTCTGATTATGCAAATAGCCAATCATAGATTTAGATTTTCGGGTGGCCAATCAGATTTAAAGGGGGCCGATGTCACCCCTGGCCACCTCTCTGGACACGCCCAACACTCATTCACCGTGAATCTTTGCTGGGGAAAGTTTAAACTAAGGCTGTTTAGGCAGTGTGCTGAAATGTTCTTCATCCAAAACCGTCCTGATAGCAGCAGTTACGAGTACTATAAGGTTCTGTGACATGAATTGACATGTAAAAACTCCTCAAATTAATGTTTTTATCATTTCAGGTGTTAGAAACCAGCAGGTGTCACTCGTCATTATTTTGTTTCACAAAAACTCCCAAACTGCTAACATGCCTTTTTTTGTCCAAGAATGCGGTGCAGGGTGTTTACAACCACCTGCAGCTGGTTTCAGATCCACCACATACAGGTTTTTGTTGTGGCGCTGTGAAAGAAGCCAGGACTGGCATGTGTGCTGAGCTGGGAGAAATGAAAGGTTGTTTATGTGCTGGACAATAACCTCAGCAGATCAGGCTGCACCATTGTGATCTAGTTTTGTATGGGCTTGGTGGCTGCTGGGTCAGGAGGTCAGGTCTTTAAACTGGGTCTGTCTTTCCAAATATATCTGAAGAACAATGAAGTTTATAAAAATGTCATCATGTTCTGTTCATGTCAGGGTCCTGAGGTCAGGGTTACACCGACTAGTCCAAAGAAAGGAATCCACAGCAGCAGCAGCAGCATTTTGACTGTTTTATACATTGACAGTATTTTAAAACGTTGGTTTTTGTCTGTTTGTGAGAATTAAAGGAAGAGATACTTTGTAAAACACAGATTTTCTGGTTGACCAAATTGTTCTCAATTATTGTGTTTCACTTTGTTTAAAGTTTTACACAACCCCTCTTAGTGAGCCTGCCTTCAGGCACAGTTAATGTTTCGGGCTTAATGCCAGCGTACTGAGTTGCTTTACTGGGATGATGAGAGCAGGTTGATGTTTAGCAGTTATAATGTTTGTCACATTCACCATCTGTGTTCAGTTTGTTAACATGCAAACATTTTCTACTCTGCTATAAACAAACATGACAAGGGAAGAAACTCTTTTATTGACTCAATCTAACCTCCCTGGAGATAAATGAATGTATATGTGTCACATTGTGTGTGTGTGTGTGTGTGTGTGTCTGTCTCACCACCCTCTCGGGGCTCTCCTGCTCGTCTGTGGAGCCGCTGTGATGAGGGTTGCGTTGCTGGGCGGAGGGGGATCTGTTCGAGGGGGGCGACCGCCTCTTGTCTTTTACCTGTCACACACAGCAGAAGATCGTGTTCATGTTCGTTCAGGTTGACTTGGAGCTGGGCAGCCATGAAAGCTTTGCACTGCAGCTGCAAATCTGATAGATTTTTTCTTATTTCATTTTTAACGTTGACTGATTGTTCAGCTCCAGGAGAACTTCTTCACAGCTTTAAATAAATCAAACTCTGAAGCTACACCATAGGTTTTTTGAACTCTGATGGTTTTTTGTATTCTGACTATTTGTTGCTCTTATTAATCCACTAAACTTGACAATCAGGTCTCGACATCTTAATATGACTTCTTAAACAGTTTCTAAAAACTGAACTTCAGTCGGAGCACAGAGGCGGTAAAAGTTTTAATCTCTGAGGAACTCAAATGTTCACCTTCATCTGCAGATGAATGATGGCCTGATTCAGGAAACAGTATCTCTCTCTCTTATCTTGCACTGCATGAATTTAATAAAATATAAAATCTTTAATCTCGTTATTTTGATGTGTTGTTTACATTATTTTTTTATTCCCTGAAACAGACAGGATCAAACTGAGCTGAACTCCTTCAACTCTAATCTGCTTTCTTGAGGAAACTCATCTCGTCCCGGCCTCCCACGCCTCCTTCCTCTCCTGCACTCACTTCATAAACTCTCACATAGATTGTAAAAACATCCTGTGTTAGCACTTCACCTGTCGCTGTGACCGGCAGGCTGCGGAGACCTCTGAAACCAAGGACAAGTTTCCTGTGCACATCGAGAGCTACATTCTTGAAATACCAATGCATATCATTTTATTTTATTAGATGTTATAGCTTCATCAGTAATTGAATTTATTTAAGGAGCATTGTTACCTATTATTTTTGTTTGACCAAAAAAAGGATCCATGCAGACCCATAAAGAGTCCGTCCAATGAATTCATTATGGACACATTTTGACTGTCCACTTTCAGCTCAATTTAGAAAGTCTTCAACATGCAAAACAAACAAACATGTTGCCTCTGAACGGCAGAGAAGAGTCGTTGGATCTCCTCTCTCATGGACTCTCACTCCTCAATCACTGAGGGATAGAGGCTTTTTCATTTTGTCATGTTTAATACGTTCATAATCCAGTTTATAATCTGGTTGGTTTCTCAAAAGTTGCCTAGTTTTAGATTAATGTAAAACAAACTATTAAAACTGCTCTTCACAAAACATGCAGACACACATTCAGCTGCAGCATAACACTAAACCATGAGGGCAAAATATTTTAACACCCTGCAGGTTTTAGTGCACAGCCAAGCATAAATAACAACTCTCTTTATAAGTGTAATGATGCACAGATGTTTTTTTTTATATTAGATTAGAGACATCCTCAGTAACATCTGTCTACAGTCGATCACATAACAGAGTTAAAGTAAAAGTGTTTTTAATGTGTGCAGGACAGACGGAGCTTTTAAAAGGGAACGAGGCCACAATAATAAAACATACACGTCTCTCACTTTAGAGGAACCACAGCAGTGTGTATGTTTCTACAAGAGCATGACTTTAGTTTGAGTTGTGTGTTTACTCACGGCTGAATCTCGGCTCTGGCTGAAAACATGGCTGTCCTCTTGGTCTCTGTCAGAGTCTAAAAAAACACAAAAACATTCCAGCTTCATTTTCAGGTTATTTCAGTAACTGTGAGCTTATCTTATTCAATTACTGTAAGATGAAATAGGCACCTGAAAAAGGGTTTTATTTGTTATGAGACTTTCATTTAAAGAATGGGAAGAGACAAACTAACACCTGTCCAGTAACCTTGATCGATTTGACACAGAACAACAATGAGGTTAAGAGAAAAATAAATTGTGCTTCACTTAGTCATTTCCATGTGGGTCAAGTCACCGATATTTTCTTTTTAAGGTGAACAGAATGTTTTTATTTTAGAGGTTTTTAAATCATTCTTAAGCTGATAAAAAAAAAAAACAATATGATCCAAATTTCTGCATTCAGACATTTTACTGTGGGGTCAGTTTGAAATATCACACGTACAGGCAAACTAGAACATCAAATATAAACAGATATGAAGCCAGGAGTCTCTTTAAAGTGTGCTTTGAATGACGTCCTGCATGAGTAGAAGTGGAATCTTGATTAAATCGAGATACATTTTTGGTACATTTTCCCGTACACCACAGGACGACAGCAGGCACCATGGACATGCCATCAGGTCAGGATTGTCTCTTCTGACAGTAAATTAACTGAAGTAGCATCAGGTGTTTTCTGTCAGGTTTGTGCACATGGCTTTGAACGTCTGCTGAAGTTACGGGGCAGTCAGTCCTTAACTTCTAGGGTTGGCGGTCTTGAAATTCTCTCTGCAGTATGGTTCTGAATCTATCAACTATCCACCCGAGCCTGCAGCGTCTAAACCCTCCACTCAGGCACTTTTTGAAATCTGATGGTGCTTAAACAGCTCAGATGGGTAAAGACAAAACTGATATTCACATATAAGACCCTCGAAAATGTTTGTTGGAGAATATCATGAAGCCAAAAAGCTGCAGCAGAATCAACAGACCTCCATGTCTTCATCTCGATCTGAGTCAGTCGATTAAAGTGACGTCAGAATCCAAGTTGGGAACTGTTTCAGTAAATGAGAGTCAACAATGACAGATACTCAGAAATCTGCAACAAAGATGTGGCAGATCTCCCCATCTCAAACCACAATCACACTCACAGTCATCACAGTCACACGATCAGATACTAGTTCTTGTTGGCTGTGACACTTAACGGTCAGTTCCCAGCTTTATTTTCCATTGTTAAGACCATGCAGATACATTAGTTACAGCTGCATCAACACTTTTAATAAATAAACACTAAATCAAGGCTCGCAGGAGTGTAATAGGCCAGGACTGTGAACCAGAACGACTTTACAGTAAAGACTTGATGTCCATATAATCAGCAGCTAAGCAACTGTTTGCATTACTTTAAAACTCAGGTAAGTCCCATGAACAAGTAGAAGCAGAAATACATGAAATGACTGCATTTCATGGTGGCACAGAAACAAAGTCGAGGGAAAATCAACGACCTCAAAAAGAAGTTTCAGCCAGGAGAAAGAAGTTTGAGTTCTTTGTTTGAAGTCAAGCTTTTATTTTTCACACATGTGCAATGTAACCTTACTTATCGGTGTTACTTATGGGGGGCGAAATAATATAAGTACAGCTTTAAGGTACTTTATTAACAAAAAAATAAAAAAAATTGTTTGACAGTGTTAAGCAGGTTTCTTCTTCTTTCACATGTACTTTGTTTTGGCATTACTTGCATTACGAGCAACTCAACGTGGCATAAAGGTGAAGATTGCAGGTTGGACAGAATAAATTGTTGAATGTGTAAAAGCTCAGTTTACCATCAGTCTATCAGCAGCATGTCTCTGCTGGTTCAGGGGTCTCTATGACCCTCTGTCACTGTGACCCCCGGCATCTCATTCCTCACAGTCCTGACTTCATGTGATCACTTTTTTAACTGCCTCAATTTAGTGTGTGTGTGTGTGTGTGTGTGTGTGTGTGTGTGTGTGTGTGATGTCGTGCCTGTTTGGGTGTGCTGGAGGTATCTGGTGTCTCCGAGGTCACAGTAACACATAGCACACATTCAGTGCAGCCGAGCCGTCAGTGTATCAGTCACAGAGGAGCAGAGAGGGGCTCTCAGGAGAAGATATACTCTCAGTCACATAGTGGTGAGAATTAAAACCATCCTCAGCTCCTCATACATCAGTGACTCTGCTGCTCCTGGGGCCGTCATGAGTTACAATAATAAGTCACACCATGAGCCCCTCACTGATACTGTATACTGTCTTATAACTCCTTACTTTAACTCTCTCATCCAGGTGTACACTCCCTCTCACCCACTACACTCTGCCAATGAAAGGTGTTTAATCCAACCTTCACAACAGGGTCCTAAGTCTCTGACTAGACTCTTCTCCTCTGTCGCCCCCCGGTGGTGGAATGAACTTCCAAACTCCATGTGATCTGCAGAGTCCCTCTGCACCTTTAAGAAAAAGCTAAAGACCTAGCTCTTTCATGAATACCTACTAACTTAATGATGATGGTCTCCATATTATTGATGATGATGATGGTAATGATGATGGTTTTTGTTTGATAGCGATGACTTATAAGATGGTTTCTATACTGATTAGAGCTCTCAAGAACTGCCCTCAATGTTGTGCTTTGCCTCTGGTCACTTCCTGTCAGCACCTGTGTGTCCAATCAGACTCAAAGCTGATCGTTTGCTCTTACTCACATTGTTCCCTTTTTTCTAGATCCTTGCTTGTGTTGTTCTTACTCTCTGATGTACGTCGCTTTGGATAAAAGAGTCTGCTAAGTGAATTGTAGAATTGTAGAATATTTGTTTAAATTAATGTTATATACAGAAGCTAAAAGCGGACATGTGAGCATACATTTTATATGATTATCTTTTCCTGTAATACATTTTTCCCCCCTCCAGATCTCGACGTACTTATCTCATATCCTAAGAGTTTAAAAACACAAAGTAAACACAGAAAAACGCTTAATTTACTGGCATCCTGCTGGCCTGTCTCAGTGACCAGCCTATTGTTTTGTTTTTGTTCTACATCGTCAGAAAATAGTCCCAGTATGACAAGAATATAAGCCTTCTTATTTTGAGATAAATATTTTTGAGATCTTGAGAAAACATCTCGTAAATTACTGGTTATCAGAAAAATGAGTAAATGAAATGTATGATGTAAAATGTCTGCTCAGGGCTTCCGTAGATTTTGTAAATCATACAGTGACAATCTATGATGTTTTTCCTCTCCTGACAGTCACTTCAAAATCAAATAACTACAAATATAAAGGGAGAATTTTTTTTTTTTATTTATTTAAACGGACATATTTGTGTCACTTATTTGTCAAACATAGATGTTGAGTTTGTTGAGTGTTGAGATCTCGGCTTTGTTGTTATTCCAGTGCTGAGTGAGTGACATTAAATCAGCAGCAACAACAGGTGCGACCACTCCACATGCTGTAC